ACCGTATGCAATGTAGTTTTCTTTACATTATAGAGTCGGCTTTTTTAACTCGTTGGAGAATTGTGAGGCGCTTTTATAAGGTAGCTAGAACCACTTCAAATTGATTTTTTGAGATGATTACAACCGCCTCTATAATACTAATTATGTCTTTCATAATTTTTTGGCGCGTAATTTATACGGTAGTTATCTACGTTCCTAGATTTTTTAAAAATTTAGCATGAAATGTTAGGGATAGTTGTAACCTCTTTAAATTTTAGAATTTATAAGAGCGATTATAACCGCCTCAAATTTTAGAATTTATAGAGCCGAATTTCACCTTCAAATTCAATTATCTACTCCATTGTTTGGTCAAAAACCAAATAAATTAAAAAAATTTACATCTTGTTGAATGCAAATAAAAGAAAAATTATATAACTTACATAATATTCTTAAATTTGTAATTATCAAATTCTAAATATATAAAAATTCTTCAAACATCCATAAGAAAAAAAAACTAAAGGATTGAAAACTTGTTCAAAATAAATAAACAAAGTTCCTAATATGTGTACCAAATAAATATAATATGAATATACATAATATGAAAATATAAATTCATAACCGGAAAGCTACAATTCATTGACGAGTAAAGTTTGAGTAAAGTTTGTAGTTGTTTAATGAAACCAACGGACAACAAACTAAAAATCTACTCGTGGTACTTCATCGCATGTGGTCACCAAACTTTAGAACGCAATATCAAATACTAAATGGACTAACGAGCAATCCGATACCTTGGATTAACCAAATTATCTAGGCTAGAAGCCACTTGAATGTACTCTATGACATCACCAACCTTAAGATTTGCTAAATAATCCTCATTTTTCATAACATAACCAAAGACAAGCATGTCGACCATCCAATATCTTTGCATTGCTGGGAGTTGGCTCACTTTCTTTTAATAGACAAAATACTTGGCTTGAAGCCGAGTTGTTCTCAAACTCCTATAAAAAATAAAATTAAAAATTAAAAATAAGGTAACTTCAGAGTTAATCCTTTAGAATATTGGAATCAACAAACACAAGACACACATGAGAAAGAGTTCAAAAAAAAAAAATAGAGGTGTTGATTAGAACTAGATCTATTTGTCAAGTTGGATTGGATCAAAAGATTGCATAAACTCTTAAAATAGTCTTCATAGCATAGACCAAGTCTCGCCATTTGAAATTTTTGCCTATAGTCAAGCGTAAATACCAAAAACATTAACTACAAGCAAGTACCTTTGTTCCAATAACCGAATTTATCAAATGGAACAAGCATTATTATAAATGAGATACATTAAAGATAGAAGCAAAGCTAGAAATAGATGAGAAATGTAGAATTGCAAATGTAGTCTAATCTAATGTCAAGTTTGATACGAAGGAAACCGTGTAGAATGAATAAAAGCAAGCAAATGGCACTCAATCCCATCACATAGCTAGCAAAAATTAAGTGCTTTCCTCAAGAGATAAATGACCTATGACACCAAGCACAAGTTAGCAAGTAAGAAATATGTCGCTGATTCCGTACACAATAGAGAAAATTCTCTAAGCATTATTTTTAATCAAAAAATAAGAAATATGCAATCAATGATATTTTCCAAAACATAGTTCACTCACCCACAAATGGACCCCTAAATAGGATGGTCCCTATTTGTCTATTTTTATATTACATGTACATCCGTAATAACATTTTGTAAAATCCAAAATTTCTAAGAAGAAAAAAAATCAACGAGTTGGATGACGATGCTTTCATTTGCTTGATATAAATGAATTCCAAAAGTGAATTATAAGATATTTCTTTAACCATCGATCGTACATTATGAATGTTATAAATATCTTTTATTATAATTAACTTTATTTTGTAAGTCTTTTGATGTGGCAACAAAAGCATAATTGTGAACAAGATGGAGAAACACCACCTGGAATGTATTGTACACATTAATAAAAAAAAAAAAGGATAATGGCTTTCCATACATTTTACTTTGTAAGAAGTTTACCTGTCCCGGATTTCAATTGGAAAAGCAACGAAAGGATAGCATCGCATCCGATGCCGATATTGCAACGATGCTCTCGTCAACCGCAACCAATCCCAAGTCTTGAGAATGATAAACAATGACACCAGCTCCAAAAAAATATTATGAGTGAACACCATCAACCATAATTGACGGTGGAACATGAAGCTGAAAGTACAAATATCAACATGTTAAGATTGACTATATCATAATAGAAGTCAAATAAAAAGAAAGTGAATGGCTTGAGTTGACAATTTGACAAAGCAATAATAAAAGATGCCTTTAAATTAACTTGTATAAACAAAGGAAAGCACAAAATGAAGATGGATTGTGAACTTCAAGAGGAAAATCCGGAAAATAGAAGCTTAATTATAGCATTACTATAATCCCTTTAGGTTTTCATCGGATAGGAAACAAATAATAATCACTTAATTAGTTTTCACAATCAACATTTCAATAGTGGCTCGATAGTAAATCTTCACTAATACCTATCCATTATACAAGAAGAACTATTCCATGTATTGGTTTTTATCGAAGCATGCTCAAAAGTATAGATAATACTACAACGCATAAAAAGATAGGCAATAGAGACGAAATAAGATGCGGTTATAATGCTTTCAATACTAAAGAAAAAGATTAGTAATAGCTTAAGGCAATCTCTCTATAAGTTCATCACCATGGTTGTCTTTAAGGCAAAGTTTGAACCTACTTAATCAATAATTCAAGATCTGCAGCTTTAAAAAATAGAAGTGCAATAATACTTAGAAGCAAATATTAGATCGAGATGGAAAAAAAGGAGGGGGAGCTTATGACGGTGTTTTAAAGAAAAATTAAAGGTAACACTAGTATATTAAGATACTTGAAAAAATAATTAAAGATGATTAAAACCTTAGATTTTTACCTCAAACATAACTAATGTAGGTTCTATAACACCTTATACAAATGAAGCATTAGTTGCCACGATCATTGCACCTTAAAACTTCATTTTCTATGGTGCTTGAATCATCTAACTTTACTTCTCTAGTTTTAGGTAAGGAATGATTAATAACAACGAGTTCCATTGGCGGACAAATCGATACTCTTCGTTTATTTGTTCTAACGACAATTTCCTCCCGAGGATGTGGTTCTTTAGAAGAATGTTCATCTATACTAGTAACACCATCAGCCAACTCTAGGTCATTAACTTGATTTACATGTTTCGAATGAGTCACCTCACCACCCGGAAAACAGTTGGGCTTGTTAAGCCTTGTCTCATATGATTAATAGTAGATGGTAGTAAGAAAGAGCTCTCGATCATGTGAGAGAAAGTAGAGAGAGATGCTCTCCTCCCCCAATGGAGATCTTTCCTCAAGTTCGGCCGGCGTCGCCTCCGAGCCTCCCCCTTTGATTTTCTGTCTTTGTCTCAACCTTCCCTTCCACTCCACCATCCCTGTTCATCTTCTTCCTCCCTCTCGTTTCTCTCTCCCCGCTGCCCTCCATTTCTTTCTCCAGTTTCCCTCTCCCTGCTACTCGTCACTTGGGTCTTTCTCCCCTCGGCCATGGCCAAGAAGAAGAAGAAATCGCCCCTAAGCTGAAGACCACTCCTCGCCGGACAGAACCAGTCCTTGCTCTGGTTGCTCCGGCCACCAGCTCCAAATCTGCCTCGATTTCAGTTAGCACCCCCCGGCGGGTCTAAAGCAGCAGCCCTCTCCGACCCTCCGGTCGCCGCTGCTGTGGAAGAGCTTTTCAGTGATGAAGCTTCAAGCTCGGATGAAGAAGGGCCGGATTCCGATGAGGTAGACAGCAGCTCCGAAAGTTCAGCTGAAAATTTGCTTTTCCCTCCCACCAAGTTGAGTGAAAATTTGGCTTCCCGTCAAAACACTTCTGCTGCTGAAAATTCAACTTTGGGTGGCAATTTAGATTCCCGCCAGATTTTTGTAGCTACCGAAAATTCAAGTTTGGGTGGCCATTTGGTTTCCCGCCGAAATTTCCAACCCCCCCAGTTCCCGCCCCAGCTTTGGCCGGCTCTTGCGGGCCTGTTTCTGGCTCATGCTCCAGCAAAGGGCTTGAGACTTCGAGCATGTTCCGTCGAGCTCCACCGGGCCTCCGCACCATGACCGCCCCCACTCTCCTCCCCCAGCTGCGCCGGGTAACTCTCAAGCCCCCTCTTCCAAATGGCGTGATCTTTTTGCTTCTAACCGTAATACCGCTCTATGCCCAAAGCTCACTCATTATAGTGCTATAACTCAAAGCAAAACTTGCTCTTTGCTTGCCGCTGATTCGCAATGCGAAATATGGAAGTCTTTCCCGATTGGTTATGTTGCCGGCAAGTCTCCGGGCTATAGGGCTCTTTCCGGCATTATTGAGACTACATGGCAATGTCAAGCTTCGTTATCGATCCATGACTCCGGCTGGCTTGTGTATAAGTTTGCCTCCGACGAGGCTAAGCTCTCGGTTCCGAATGGGGGCCCGTATCCGATTTTCGATCGGCCGTTATTGCTCCGACCTATGCCCGAATTCTTTGACTTTTCGATCACCGAAATGGCGCAAGTCCGGTTTGGGTAAAGCTTTCGAATTTGCCTCTTAACTGCTGGTCCCCTTTATGCCTTTCGAAAGTGGCTAGCCTACTGGGCAAGCCTATCCAGTGTGACCGGCTAACCGCCTCCATGGAACGGATCTTCTTTGCTAGGGTTTTGGTTGAAGTCAACATCATGGAGGAGCTTCCGAAATTCTTAAGTATTGGGTTGCCGAATGGCTCCTCTCTTCGCCAGCAAGTGGTTTATGAAACAGTCCCGACGCACTGCAGGCACTGCCGAATTCTAGGGCACTCTACGGCTTCTTGTCGGAAGGCGGCTCGGGTGGCCAGCCAGAGTCGGAGCGTCGGCCATGCCGAGAATCCGAGCCTAGCTGACTCTCGGAGGCCTGCTATTGGGGGGCTCAGCCGTGCCTACTAGCCTTGCGGGCGCTCCTTCGGAGGCTCGTTCATTTTGACCCTATGGTTTCAGAGGCCGGGGCTACGACAGGAGAGTGGACGTTAGTTTCTGGTCGGGCCAAAGCCGGCGCTCGCTCAAATCGGCAGCATCGTTCTCGGCCGGCTTCGCCCTCTCAGTTGGGGCAGCAATCGGATGAGCGAGTTCAGGGGTCTCCTCTAGGTCCTTCGGCTCGGACAGATAAGGGTAAAGCGCCTGCGGTCGCTCCTTCTCAGGTAGAGCTGGCGGATTCTGGGGTTGGTGCAGGCACGCAGCCAGTAACCGTTGGGGTACAGGACAGGCGCAGCTCTCGGGGGCTGGCCTCCAGTGCAGGCATGGGCTCAGTGACTCAGAGCCGTCAGTAGTGGCCACAGGCGCTAAGGATGGGTCTCTGTTGGCTAGCGCTAGTGCGCAGCCGGTTCTTGCTTGGCGCTCGAGGCCAGGCGCAGTGCGCGGGGGGCAGCCCCAGAGAAAGCCTGCTTCGCGCGACTCTGACCAGCCAATTGTTGAGGTAGGCACCACTGATGGGGCTTTGTTGCATAAGGTCAATGCTGGCTTGCTAGACCTTCAGCAGGCTGAAGGGTCTCAGGCGCAAGCTCCAGCGCTAACAGAGCGCCGCAAGATAAAGAAGACGAAACGGAGTGCTAAGGGGGCCTGCCCTCTGCAGCGGCTGTATGATTGTCCTCAGTTGGAATGTTAGGGGCCTCAATTGTCCCCTAAAACAACATGAGGTTGCTGGCCTCATGTGTTCGAAGAAGTTAGATGTTTGTGCTCTAGTCGAAACCAAGCTCGGCCTTACAAAGCTAGCTCGCTTTCATCGGTTTCGGCTTAAGCGGTGGAAGCTTGCCTCTAATGCCTCCGAATCCTCCAAAGCTCGCATTGCCCTCTTTTGGAATCCGGATACAGTTTTGGTCGAGCTCTTGGATTTTTCCCCTCAAGGGTTGCATGTCCATATTCGTAGCCTTGTTCATCAGTCACGGTTTCACGCCACCTTTGTTTACGGTCTTCACACGATCTCCAATCGTCGTGAGCTTTGGACGAATCTTCGGGCCTGGAATCCTACTAGTCAGTGGATTGTTCTCGGCGACTTCAACTCTATCCTTTCTCCGGAAGATAAGCATAACGGAGTGATGGGGTCCAATTATGAGTCTTCGGATTTTCGCTCTTGTTGTTTGGATCCGGGTCTACGGGACCTAGCGTATACGGGCAGCCAGTTCACTTGGAACAGCGGCAGTGTTTGGACCAAGATTGACAGAGTTCTCGCCAACCCCCTCTGGCCCGTTTCCTCTCTGCCTATTTCAGTCCATTTCAGTCCACCTGGGGCTTTTTCTGACCATGCTCAAGCCTGGGTTCAGATTGATAGTCCGCCTCCTTTCTGCCGGAAGCCGTTCAAATTTTTTAACATGTGGGCTCTACACGACAGTTTCCTCCCGATTGTTGCTAGCCACTGGGCCCGTGGTATTCATGGCACCCCGATGTTCTCTCTCTGCCGCAAGCTTAAGGCTCTAAAGCGGCCCCTGCGTGAGCTCAATAAGCTTCACTTCAGTCATATTTCCGAGCGTGTGGCCCGTGCGCAAGATGATCTTGAGCGGCTTCAGCAAGCCTTACAGTCCGACAGAGATAATGTCCGCCTTGTTGAGCAAGACAAGCAGCACCGGCGGGCCCCGATCAATCTCAAGTCAGCGGAGAAAATGTTTTACAGTCAGAAGCTCAAATGCCGGTTCCTTGAAGAGAGTGATAGAGGCAGTCGGCTCTTCCACTCCCTCATGACCCAACATCACAAGAAGAACTTTATTGCGGCTATCACGGATGATGAGGGTCAGCTCACGACGTCGCTCTCTGCCGTCGGTGACACTTTTGTTGGCTATTTTCGGAGGCTTCTTGGTACTGCTCGGGCTACCACCCCTCTTGATGTCGGGGTTGTTTCTAGTGGGCCTTGCCTTGATTCAGGCTCTCATGCGCTTCTCCTTGCCCCCGTTACTGATGACTTAATCCGCGAGACTCTGTTTGGTATCAACAATGATAAAGCCCCGGGCCCGGATGGTTTCTCGTCTCTCTTTTTCAAGACAGCCTAGGACATAGTGGGGGCCGACTTTTGTGCTGCCATCAAAGATTTTTTCTCCTCTGGCCAGCTGCTTAAACAGGTTAACCACTCAGTTATTGCGCTCATTCCGAAATCAGCTCATGCTTCCTCCCCCTCGGACTTTCGGCCAATTTCTTGCTGCAATGTGGTTTACAAGGTCATCTCAAAAATTCTCTCTTCCAGGTTAGCGAGTGTTTTGGTCGACATCATCAGTCCCATGCAAAACGCTTTCTTAGGTGGACGGAAAATGTCAGATAACATCCACCTTCTCCAAGAGTTGCTCCGGCACTATGGCCGCAAGCGTGCCTCACCTCGGTGCCTTCTTAAAGTGGACTTCAAGAAGGCTTTTGATTCTGTGCAATGGTCCTTTCTCCGTAATCTTCTTTGGTCGCTTGGCTTCCCGAGTACATTTATCCACTTAATCATGGCTTGTGTGGAATCTCCATCCTACTCAGTTTCGGTGAATGGTTGCTTGTTTGGTTTTTTCCGCGGTAAGAGCGGGATTCGGCAAGGCGACCCACTCTCCCCTTACCTCTTTATAGTGTGCATGGAGTACTTCTCTCGCATGCTTCTGTCTGCCTCGGTTACTGCTGGTTTCCGTTTTCACCCGCAATGTGAACTTCACCGAATCAGTCACATTGCGTTCGCCGATGATGTTATGCTTCTTTGTCGTGCTGACCGCGTTTCAGTTCAGTGCTTGACGCAGCAGATTCACGTGTTCGGCAGGGTTTCAGGTCTGACCATTAATTCGGCCAAGTCCTCAATTTACTTTGGAGGCATAGGAAGTTCTCTGAAGCAGGCTCTCCTCCAAGATACGGGGTTTTCTGAAGGCTCATTCCCCTTTCGTTATCTTGGTGTCCCTCTCAGTCCTCACCGTCTCTTAGCCAGCCAATTCTCCCCTCTTTTGCAGAGCTTAGAGTCCGCGGTACAATCTTGGATGGGGAAGCATTTGTCTTACGCTGGCCGACTTGAGCTATTGCGCTCGGTGTTAGCAGGGATTATTCACTTCTGGCTAGCAATTTTTCCTATTCCAGCGGTGGTTCTCTCCCGCATTACTAGTATTTGTCGCAACTTCCTGTGGACCGGGGACTACAAGAGGGGTCATTCAGCCTTAGTGGCCTGGTCTCAGATTTGCCGACCGAAAGTGGAAGGGGGCCTGGCGCTATGGCATCTGCCTACTCTCAACCAGTGCTATCTTGCGCGTCAGCTGTGGGACATTCACCGCAAGACAGACTCTATTTGGATCCGTTGGGTACATCACTATTATCTAAGAGATCAATCAGTCTGGCAGTGTCAAGTGCGTCCATCTGCCTCTCCCACCTGGAAGGCGCTGCTCTCCACACGCGACAAGCTGCTTGGAAAATTCGGGGATAGCTCTCAGGTTGAGGCACGCTTCGACACTTGGGGCCTCACCAAATTCATTCGTAATGCCTACCAAGACCTTCGCCCGGTAGGCCCTCTCGTTAACTGGCACAGAGTTATCTGGGAGCAGTGGGCCTTGCCACGACATGCTTTTGTTCTTTGGTTGGCCGTTCAAGGGAAGCTCAAAACTATAGATCGGCTACGATTTATTCCAGAGGATGTCCGCTGTGTCCTCTGTCGGTCTGCTCCAGAGTCTCACTCTCACCTGTTTTTCGAGTGTTCCTGGACCGCTTGCCTCTGGGCGTTAGTCAGGCACTGGCTGCGGATTCGTCGACATACAACTTCGTTGCCTAGCGCCATTCGGGCACTCTCTATCCGTCGGAACAACTTGCAAGCCCGTATGCGTCGGCTTTCTTTAGGGGTCATTGTTTACATTATTTGGGAAGAGCGGAACAAGCGCTGTTTTGACGAGTCTCACTCTCCAACCCCAATTGATCGGGCTTTTCGCAGATTTCAAATTCTGTTCTACATGATTTTCCACTTTCATGAGAAGGATCACCATCTCCTCAATGTTGGTTGACCGTTCCCTATCTGTTGCCTCGGCCTTGCTCTTTGGCCTGCCTACGCAGTCGGTTTGTCTGGTCTCTCAGCGCTCAACATCGTCTTTTGGTTTTATCCGCGACTGTTTTTGTATGGTGTAGAACCTATGTAATTGGTTCTAGTTAGCTAGTGTAGGGCCTCTAGCTGGTTGTTCTTGGAATCTCTCTTGTTTGTTTCCTTGATCAACCTTCTAGCTCTAGCGCTTTTGCTTTGTGTTTTTGGGAGCATGTTCCCGCTTTTTGTACATTTGTATATTGTGTCTCTGGCTGGTTTTCCCAGCTTGTTTCTCTTTGATTAATATACTTACATTTTAATCAAAAAAAAATAGTAGATGGTAGTTGTAGGGACTCGGGTTGTAAAGCGAGCTTCGTAGTCTACAAACCGTAGCCGTCATCACAAACATATATTTGTGGAGGGGCATACCATTCATAATAGTCGACCATGACAAGGATAGACAATAAGCACTATAGGAGTCAAGAAAAGAAATACTAATACCTAATTCAAACCATATATGTAATGGTGCGAGTGAGATATTCTATTCATAACTACCCGGAAAAATGCATAATAGAAATTTACTCGTTAAGATATTGCAATAATATAGAAAGAAAAACATAAATATACAAGCTTCCTAATCTTGAATGTCAATTATTGTGAAACTTCATTATCGTTACTAATATGGTAGTTATTTAGTCTATATTGATCTAGCAGATTATGCACAATCAAATTTCATATAGTAAGTTATACCATATCTACTTAAATTGAATAATTAACTTTAAACAAATAGAGTTATCACAACATTCACCCATATTCAATACTCTTATTCATTTCATAATCATATAATGCTTGTAAGTCAATATCTATCAATTGTCGATTCCTCAAATTGTCCAATTGATGGGAAAGATATCATCTCACCTTAATATAAGCTTTGTAGTAATCTTTGATACCTAGTTTGGAAAAGAATGAGTCATCCAATGAAAAGACATTAATTTCAGCTTCTTTTACCCACTTTTACATACTAATTTTTTCCAACGAACTACAATTAGATTATTCGTTGAACTAAGAATTAACCTTATATGATTCCTTTTTACTTTAACTATCACATAGTCTAATCTCTCGTGACAAATACCTCCATTAAACATAAATAGGAACAAAAACTCGCTTTAAGATTCTTCTTTCTCAATTCATTTGAAAAACCCATCAGCCTTTAATAAGGTCCTTTGCTAGTCTTAACCTCCCCTTCAAGATTTGACGACCAATTGAAAGTAAAAATCTCTAATTTTACAACTTAAAATATCAAAAGTAACTTTATTTTTTACATGAAAATTTTTTTTTTTTTTTGAACTTACCCCGAAAACCCTCTCATTGAAGACACTTGGAAAGACTTGTAAAGCATCAAGATCATGATCATAACCGAAAGCCTAAGCCCTACAAATAGTCGAGCACATTTGAGGTGAGCTCGTTTATTAAGTATCTTAAAAGCCTTTGATCTTAATGAACTCCACACACTCTCCATCATCGAAAATGATATAAAGGGACAAAGGATAACTTTAGTGTTAGGATGCTAGAATGATATAAAGCAATCCGAAATTAAGGGCGAGAGAGGATGATAGAGTGGGAATGGGTGCAAGAAAAAAGAGAGGATAGGAAGAAAAACC